ATTGACGATTTAATTTAATTTTTTAAACGTAATTTTTTTTCTTTACAAAAACCTTTTTGTTTGTCTCACGTGTTTGTTTGTTTGATTGTTTGTTTGTTTGTTTGTTTTGAAAATGATTCAGAAAAAAAAGATTTTTTTTTTTTTTTTTGATCGAGAAAGAAAATTATTACGTTTGAAAAGAACGGAAAAGAATTTTTTTTTTTTTTTTTTTTTTTAAAGGCGTTTGTTGCGTTTGTTTTTAATTGGAAAACTACAACGACATCGACGACGACAACAAAAACAATCGACTATAAAATTTTTATTTTTTTCATTTGTTTCTTTATTTTTTATTTTTTTTTTGTTGCAAATAATTAAATAATTATAATCATCATTTTTATTATTATTATTACGGTTGTTGTAAATACGTCATTTTATTCACATGGAGATTTTTTTTTCCGGAGGGGGGGACGGTGGGGGGGGGAAAACAAAAAAATATCGATTTTAAGTATTTAAACAAACTTTGCATGCAATGAAATAACTGAAAATTACATCGTATTGAAAAAAAAAAAAAAATTTTTTTTACTAAAATATAAATGAAATTTAATTATTCAAAAAAAAAAAAAAAAAAAAAAATGAAAAGTAATAAATGTTACCAAAAGGAAAACCTCAAAGGTTTTTTTTTTACCTTTTACAAAAAACGAAAACGAAACGAAAAGGAAAACGTAAAGAAAAAGTAAAAAAAAAAAAAAATTTCCGATTGACCTTTTAACGATCCGTGAATTATAAAATTTTTTTTTTTTTTTAAATTTGTAAATTTTTTCTATAATTTTTTTTTCTCCAGAACATTCCAGAATTATTTTGGAAAAATTACTAAATTTATAAACTTAATTATTTAAAAAAAAAAAAAAAATTTATGCGTCGTTTTAAACTCGTTCCTCTCCTCGTCATCGTCGTCGTCGTCGTCGGACATGATTCGTTTTGATTTTTTGCAAATTTTTTCATCGTTATTATTATTATCATTATTATTTTTTTTTTCCTATGTGACGTCATTATAAAATTTAAACCGCCAAAGTGATTTTGTTCTCGTGTCAGTTATCATTCCAGTCTTGAACCGTTTTTAACATTCGCGTGGAATTATTATTATTTTAAAGTTTTTTTCTTTTTCATTTATTTTTTTTGTTTGTTACTGTTGCTGTTGCTGTTGCCGTTTGTTGTACTTGTATGAAATTATCGACTTCGTAAATTATAAAAAACAAACGACAAACAAAAAACGATTTTTTTGTTTTTTTTTTTTTTTTTTTAAAGAGAAAAATTTAAAAGGTAAGATTTTATTAATTTTATTTTTTTTCGATTTAATAATAATAATATTAATAATAATAATAATTTGCTGTCGTTTTCGTAACGATTTTTAAATTCCTGTCGAACGTGCAACCGAAGCAGAAGACAAGAAAAAAATCCGACAGAGATAATTTAAAAATTGTTGTGACGTATTCGTATACGAACTTTAATAAAAAATGACCCAAATAATATAAATGGAACTGATACTTTTTATATAATGATAATAATAATAATAAAGAGACGACAAATCACGACAGGAACTACAACAACTACAACAGCAGCAGCAAAAAATAAATAAATAAATAAAACGGTTACAATCTCTCATATTGAATGAGGTGGTAATCTCGCGCGTGGGAATTCACGAACGTTTTTTTTTTTTTTTTACATAAAAGATATGATTTGACGTGATGCGTTGTTAAGCAAGGTTAATAATAATAATGATAATAATAACATTTTTAAAGGGGGTTACTAGGGAATAATCACACGTGGCAGTAGAAACATTTTTGGTAAAATTCACTGAAAAAAAAATGACCGAGGAAAATTTATTATAAATTTGATTTACATTTTTTATCTTTTTGCGAAAAGTCAACAGAAAAGTTTTTTCCCTTTTTCCCGGGAAGGGGAGATGGCGACGGTGGGAAGAGAGGGAAAAGGGGAGGGAGAAAGGAATGAGGAGACAAAGGCAGGGCAGAAAAATTTTAAATTTAAATATAAACTTTAACTTTTGTAATAACTTTGTCAACCGCGTGTTTTTTTGTTTTTTATCGATACGATTTTGTTATTATTATTATTATTATTATTATTATTATTATTATTATTATTATTATTATTATTATTATTATTATTATTATTATTATTATTATTATTATTATTAGAGTTACTTATAACACTATTATTATTATTATTTAAAAAATTGTTATTCGAATTTTATAAATAAAAAAAAAATTCGATTTCAAAACGATTTTACACGAAAAAATTATCAAAATTTTCTTATCAAATTTATTATTATTATCGATAATAATAATAATAATAATGATGATGATAATGATGATGATGATGACGATGATGATAATGATGATGATGATGATGATTTTCGAATTAAAAAAGAAAAAAATTAATTTAAAAATTAAGTCATTAATCGGTTATAAATTTTTTTTTTTTAGTTTTTTTTAGGGGAAGGGGAGGGGCAGTGGGGAGGTTTTATTTACCAAATATAATTTACACTAAATGTCAACGACTATAATAAAAACATTCAAGGCACGAAACCTTAAAAAAAAAAAAAATTTAAAAAAGAAAACGCGGAAAAGCAAAATTTATAAAAAAAAAAAAAAAAAAAATTTTCACTTAACAAAACGAGATTTTCAAGTTTTTATTTATTTTTTAACTGCTTCAAACCTTTCCCTCCTCCCGCCTCCTCCTCCTCCTTAAGTTAGTTCCTTCTCCTCCCCTTCCCTTTCCCCTTCCCCCCCCTTCTTACATTTTAAAAAACATCGCGTTCGATGCCAGAAAAAAACGAAGGTCGAATTAAAGTTATGTCAGTAAAAAAAAAAATGTGCCCGGAGATGAAAATATCATAATAGAACCTAAGGCACGAAGCCAATATTAACATGTAAATAATAATAATAATAATAATAATAATAATAATAATAATAATAATCACCCTTATCAATATGATTTACGCGTTCGTTCGTCCATATTTGTTTTGTTGTCGTTGTTCGATTCACTTCCTTTATTTAAAATCAAATTTGACGATTTTGATTATGCCTGAAAAAAAAATTAAAAAACGTGCGTTAAATTACGATTAATAAAAAAAATGAGAGACTCGACGACGACGACGATGATGATGATGATCGGGAAGAATCCTGGAAGAAAAAAAAAACAAAATGGCGTTAATAAATTGTTCTTAATACTTGATGACCGTGAAAATTATTTTTTCTCGACGGTATTAGAAATATTCTATTTATTATTTTAATTAATAATAAATTATTTATGTATTTTTTTTTTTTGTAAAATTTACTAATCTTTTTTTCACGTCGTTAATAATAATATTAAAAAAAAAAAAAAAAATTCCTGGAGAATTTTTTTTTTTTTGATTTTCATCGGTTCTCGTATCGATATTCACGATTTATTATTATTATCATCATCATCATCATCATCATTTTAAATGCGTTTTTAATTATTTTCAAGGCGTACCAACATTACAAAAAAAAAAAAATAAAACACCTGTTGAACGTTTAAAAAACATTTTTTAAATTCTTACTTATCTATCCAGGAAATAAAATTTTTTCTTTTTTTTTCCAGTTTCATTACGTCATCATTTCATTTTTTAATAAATACATTAAAAATTAATGATAATAATGATAATAATAATTTATTGTTATTAATTTTCTTTTAATACTGGATTTTTTAAGTTCCAGTCGAAAGTGTGACGATTCGATTCGTTCGTTACCGAGTTTGAATTTTATTTTAAAAAAAATAAAACTTCCGGTTTTTAAATTTTAAATAATAATAATAATAATGAGGAATGTACAAAGAGAGATTTCGTGAGGAGGGAAAGAGGGGATTAGGGGGGAGTTAAGATGAAAAAATCGATCCGGATGTTAGAAAAATTAGTAGGATTCGTGCCTTACGAAAAAAAAAAGAGGGGGGAAGAACAAATACAAACGTTTTGAATTTATCGGGGGGATAAAAAAAAAAGGTTTTAAAAGGAAAAGTTTATTTGAGGCGGGGGGGGGGAGGAAAGGAATCGATATGATAGGGCAACGACCAGTAGTTTTTAACCATTCGATTTATAAAATTTTTTCTTCGTCATCGAAATTTTTTTTTTTTTTAATGGCACGTCGACATTTTTTTTTTTAGTTTTTCCGGTAAATGTTTTTCCGATTCTTTATCGAAACGACGATAACACGTGATGTTAATTATTATTATTATTTATTTATTTATTCATCCACCGAAACGAATATATGTATATAAAAAAAAAAATTATAATAATTAATAAAAAAAAAAATTTTGTCGTGTTAATAAATAAAAAAAAAACCGGTTTTTCGTTTTTTTCTTCGTTTCACTTATTTATTTATTTATTTAAACGTTTATTTATTTATTTATTTATCCGTTTATTAATAATAATAATTTTTATTGCGAGAAGAAGAAGAAAAAAAAAATTACATAATTTTTATCATCATTATTTTCCGCCGTTAGTATATTTTTATTTTTCGTTCTCGTGACGTCATCACACGGTTGTTCGGTTTGTTTGTTTGTTTAATATTATCAAATATTATTTATAATATACATATATGTATATATATATATATATATATTAATATAATATTGGAAGAAAAAAAATTGTATAAATGTCACTATTATATAAATAATATAAATAAATAAATTCAGGGAGACGTTATTTTTGTACGTAAATATAAAAGTGCGTGAGTGAGTGTGCGTGAGTGTGAGTGTGTATGTGCGTGTATAAATAATAATAAAAAAAATGCCCTTGAATTTTTATTATCATTATTATTTTTTTACGGGCCAAAATAAATTCGAAATTTAAATTTTTTTATATTATGCGATGTAGTCGTTGAGATTTATTTTGGCTAATTGTAATCTAAATCTAATTTTTTTTTTGTTTTTTTGTTTTTTTTTTTTTTAATAAGAAAATTTATTTATTTATTTATTAATCTTATTAATTAATCTTCACCGCCTTCATCTTCTTCGTCTTCACCCTCTTCGTCTGCTGTTGCTTCTTGATATTGTTGATATTCCGATACGAGATCGTTCATGTTACTTTCGGCTTCGGTGAATTCCATTTCGTCCATACCTTCTCCGGTGTACCAGTGCAAAAACGCTTTTCGTCTGAACATGGCAGTAAATTGTTCGGAAACTCTTTTGAATAGTTCTTGTATCGAAGTGGTGTTACCGATAAATGTAGCAGCCATTTTTAATCCTCTCGGTGGTATGTCGCAAACGGCCGTTTTAACGTTTGTCGGAATCCATTCGACGAAATAACTGCTGTTTTTATTTTGTACGTTTAACATTTGTTCGTCGACTTCTTTCATCGACATTCTTCCTCGGAAAATTGCAGCGCAGGTTAAATATCTACCGTGTCTAGGATCGCAAGCAGCCATCATGTTTTTAGCATCAAACATTTGTTGCGTCAGTTCCGGTACGGTTAATGCTCTGTATTGTTGTGAACCACGAGACGTAAGAGGTGCAAAACCGGGTATGAAAAAATGCAGACGGGGAAATGGTACCATGTTAACGGCAAGTTTTCTCAAATCTGAATTCAACTGTCCGGGAAAACGAAGACAGGTCGTACATCCGGACATTGCTGCGGATACCAAATGATTTAAATCACCGTAAGTCGGTGTCGTGAGTTTCAATGTTCTAAAACAAATGTCGTAGAGAGCTTCGTTATCGATGCAAAAAGATTCATCCGTGTTTTCAACGAGTTGGTGAACGGAAAGTGTTGCGTTGTATGGTTCGACAACGGTATCCGATACTTTCGGTGATGGTACCACGCTATAAGTGTTCATAATTCTATCCGGATATTCTTCTCGAATTTTCGATATCAATAAAGTTCCCAAACCCGCTCCGGTACCACCACCGAGAGATTGAGTTAATTGAAAACCCTGCAAACAATCGCAACCTTCTGCTTCTTTTCTTGCAACATCAAGAACCGAATCCATCAATTCGGCACCTACGCAATACAAAACCAAGAAAAATTTTTTTAAAGAAGCCATTAATAAAAACCAGAATCCTGAAAAAATCAAAACTCACCATCGGTGTAATGTCCTTTAGCCCAATTATTTCCAGCACCACTTTGTCCGAAAACAAAATTATCAGGTCTAAATATTTGTCCGAATGGTCCAGCTCGTACAGCATCCATCGTACCGGGTTCTAAATCTATTAGAACGCATCTCGGTACGTATTTACCACCGGTGGCTTCGTTAAAATAAACGTTTATCCTTTCCAATTGCAAATCCGAATCTCCATGATATGTTCCTGTCGGATCTATACCGTGTTCGTCCGATATAACTTCCCAAAACTTTGCTCCTATCTTATTACCACATTGTCCGGCTTGAAGATGGCATATCTCCCTCATGATTGTATTTTTATTTAAACTTTTCTTCTTTTAATTATACTCACTCTAATTATTATTAATTTCTATATCTTTCCTCCTTTTTTTTTTTTTTCCTTTCTTTCTTCCCCCTGATATCCTTTTTATATATTATATATATTAATTAATTAATTAACTTACTTTAATTTTATACTTCTAATATTTTAAAATTAAAATTGATTTTTTTTTTAATTGTTTGTTTCGGCCGTGGAAAAAATTATTAAAAATTAATATTTCTATATATGTTCAAGAATATTATGGTTAAAAAAATCAACAGTTATTCTGGTTACCGGTCAATGTTTATTCTCTCTAACCGATTGTCATATACTTCAAAACAAAAAATTCGAAATTAAAAACATTCCAGAACTTTTACAATAACTCAGGTTGAAAAAAAAAAAAAAATCGTTTTCAGGTAGAAAAATGAACGCGATACTTCAATATTCGCCAAATTATAAAATGAACAAAACAATTTTGGATAAATTTTTATCACTCGAACAACCGAGTGATAAAATTCAAGCGACTTACGTATGGATAGATGGTACTGGAGAAAATATTCGTAGCAAAGATAGAACTTTACCAAATCTTCAAATGAATCCAGAGAGTGAGTATTAACCTGAAAACCCTCTCCCCCCCGTGGAAAAGAAAAAAAAATTTAAAATCATTTTTTTTTTTTTTATTATTTAAATTTAAGATTATCCGATATGGAATTACGATGGAAGTTCTACGTGGCAAGCAAAAGGTACAAATTCGGAAATGTATCTCATGCCTGTTGCTGTTTTCAAAGATCCATTTAGAAAAGGAGAAAATAAAATTGTTTTATGCGATACGTATAAATATAATAAAAAACCAGCAGGTAAACGGTGTCGACACCTGGTTGACAAATTTGAAATTAAATTCCAATTCGGTCGTTAATAGAAAAAGTTTTTTTTTTATAGAAACAAATAATAGAAAATCGTGCCTTGAAGCAATGGAAAGTGCCAAAGAATCTAAACCTTGGTTCGGTATAGAACAGGAATACACACTTTTGGATATGGATGGTAGACCTTTCGGATGGCCAAAATGTGGATTTCCAGGACCTCAGGGTCCATATTATTGTGGTGTTGGAGCCGATAAAGTTTACGGTAGAGATATAGTCGAAGCACATTATAGAGCTTGTTTATATGCTGGAATAAATATTGCTGGTACCAATGCTGAAGTTATGCCTTCTCAAGTAAGAAAATTACTCTTCTGATATGTTGTTGGTTGATTGGTTGATAATAATGACAACATTTGATATTTTATTTAGTGGGAATTTCAAGTTGGACCGACTGAAGGAATATTAGCTGGTGATGAATTATGGGTGGCTCGTTACATACTACTTAGAGTTGCAGAAGAATTTGGTGTCGTTGTCACTTTTGATCCAAAACCTATGGAAGGTAATTGGAACGGTGCTGGTGCACATACAAATTTTTCAACTCTTAAAATGAGAGAACCGAATGGAATAATGTGAGTATGCCAATCCCACTCCCTCCCCCCTACCTCCCCTCAACGATATATAAATCTTTTTTTAAATTAAATATATATTTTTTTAGAGAAATTGAAAAAGCCATTGATAAATTATCAAAAGCACATTTGAGACACATTCAAGCCTACGATCCTAACAAGGGAAAAGATAACGAAAGAAGATTAACAGGACAACATGAAACGTCTTCCATTCATAGTTTTTCAGCTGGTAACCTTTTGATAAAAAGAAAAAGTTTTGATAAAAAACAAACATTTTCGTGAACGTTAATCCAATTTTTTTTTGCAAATTTCAGGTGTCGCAAATCGAATGGCGAGTGTTAGAATTCCAAGAACCGTTGCAGAAGATAAAAAAGGTTATTTTGAAGATAGGAGACCATCGTCCAATTGTGATCCTTACAGTGTCATGGAAGCTTTGGTTCGCACTTGCTTATTAGATGAATAATTAAGTTCTCTACACAGAATCATAAAAAATTATTAATTTTAAATTACATATCATAATGGCGAACAATTACAGGATCTTGAATAAAAAGCCTTTTACATACAATCACTAAAATTCTCTTCTGTAAATAAATTTATCATATGTAAAAATAATAATAATATTAACCTACTATAACTGTACATATCATACGTGACCTCATATCAAATTTCATGAGTGAGGATGTTGATTAATAAATATAAAAATTTTTTCTTTTCTTTCTATGGCTATCAACAATTATTTATTTGACCTTTTTGTGATTTCCATTTACCCCCCATCCAACTCCTTTTTTTCTTCCTTTGATATATATTTTTGTATTTTTAATACGGTCACGTTTAAGTTATTTTAAAAGACATAAAAATTTCAAGTAATATATATATATATATATATATATATATTCCAGACGGTGAGTCACGATAAAATTCAAAGATAATCTATATAAAAAAAGAAAAATTGCGTGCACAATATTAGAAAATCAATATGGCGGTGGCAAGGCAACCCGACTACTTAACTATTGATTTATTACATTTATTGTTTTTTGAAAACAAAAAAAAAATAAAATAAAAAATATACTTTAACGATTAAATAAAATAAATTTCAATCCAAATTCTTTTTTCCTTTCTTTTTTTTCTTAATTTTCAAATGTTTTTTTCTTTTTTTTTTTTTTTTAAATTTTTTGATTGGATGAATTTGTCATTACGTCATCAAAATTTTGCGTTCCGAGATAACGGAAAAACCGTTACTGCCGCCATTTTAAATTGTACATGTTTCACCTTTTCGCGTTCGTTAATTTTATAAATTAATTAAAATATTAATTATCATCGTTGTCGTTATAATTTTATGTATTAAAAACTTTTTAACGTTTTTTTTTTTAAATCACAACTGCTGTAATTATATTAGAAAAACTAAAGAAAAAGATTTCACGTTTTAAAATAATTAAAATTACAAATTCGAATAAGTTAAATCGTTCATAGTCATTAAAAAAATTTTTTTTTTTTTTTTTCGTTTGTTATATTTAATGCAAAGTTTGTGTTAATAATTATAATAATAATAAATTACCTTAACGATAGTTTTATTGTATTTTTGTAAAAGAAACAAAGTAAAATAAATTAATATGTGAGAATATTCGCATTTTAAATTAGTTGAAAAAAGTTTTTTTAAAATTAATTTTGTTCATTGATGGTTAATAATTTTTTTTGTAAACAAAAGGTAAGATATACTTAAATAATAATAATAATAATAATAGTAATAGTTTAAATGTTTTTCAATTATCCTTTTTTCGCTGATTTTGTCAAAGCATCTTGCATATTTTTCTGCAACGTTATTAATGAATCCCTGTGTTCATTTTGTTTTTTATCTATGTCTGCTATCATATTATCCAACCTTTTTCTGAAAATATTAAATATATGTAAATTCACATTGTAAAATGAAAAAATTTTTTTATTATATCAGTAGAATCAAGTGTAAATCAAAATAATAAAAAGTTCGAAATGGTTCATTATAAGTTAATTTCGCAAGCATAAAAAGTCGATTTACTCGAGTTCACATAATTTTTCAAATATAAAACTAATTAATAACAATATTATTAACATAATAATAAAATATCTAAAACTTAATTTACTAGCAACTAAGAGAAGATCACTAAATTTTTATAGTGATTGAAATAATGCAAAATTCGAGAGATTCGAAAAGTTTAAGTTAAAATTTTGTACAAAATATATAATAGAAAATTACTAAAGGATCGATAAGTAATTAATTAAAAAACATTAGTCATTGGTATGTAACTGAATTATAAAAATATCAAATAAATAATTTGTTCTTTTTTTTTCTTACATTTCTCCAGAAATATATTCTATTCTTTTAGCAACATTTTGTTTGGCTTCCTCTAAATCTTGTTTCATTAATACTGGCCCTATTAATTTAAATACTTCACCATCTTCTTCGAGTAAGTCTAATTCATTTTTAACACAGGTATTTTCATTTAATTGAGCATCTAATTGCTGCCTTTTGGTAATTGCTTTTTGATATTCTAATGAAAAGAAAAAATTTTTTCATTCATTTGTGTAATAGAAAAAAAAAAAAATACTAATAATAATGATAATAAATAAACACATGCATGGATAATATATTTAAAAAAATTTATTCGACATAAAAATTTAATAATAATTGTGAAAAGTATAAAATACCTTTTGAAAAAATTAAAATTTATTAACGGACTTACCTTTTTGACAGCTTCTAAAAGAATCAAGTTCTTTTTGTAAATTTTTTTGTAAACCTTCGAGTATTTTATCCGACATGATTGCGGTGAATTTTGGCTAGATGTATTCAATTCCAATTGTTTCTACTGCCACGATACTAAATCATTTAATGTTTATTTTTGTAATATATATATATTTCCATTGATATTAAAATACATTTTCTTAAATTTAATTTTTATTATTTATTAAATCGTTCATTAGTAAAATTGAAAACTTCTTTCCATGACGTTTTTTTCATTGTAAACAATAATTTTCTTTTTAAGTTTTTTATATATAAAAAAAGATTTGATCTTTTAATTAATTAAATTAATTATTTTATTTTCATAATATCTTATTGCATTCTCTAATGTTTTATAATTTCAAAAAAATTAAGGAAAACATAATTAAAAAATACTTTTTTTATTTTATTATATTTATATATTCATTATTATAAAAATTTATTTCATAAAATATTATTATAAAATGTATAATTTAAAAAAAATATAAAATTTTTTAAAATTGTTGAAAATTTGTAACTTTTCAGTTAAGCTTTCCATGATATCCAGGCAACAAAATAAAAATTATGGTTTGTTCATCGAGTTAAATACTGTGAAATATGGCAGAATAAGGTCTGGGTGCAATTGTTATCCCAATCAAAGGTTCCAGAGAAGGATCATCGTGTTCAGGTAATTTAGTTATTTTAAAATGTTGCATGATACCGGCAAAAATTAAAAATAGGCAAGATTTAGCCAGAGCTTCTCCTAGGCATCTTCTTTTACCTATTGTTAAAAAAATTATTTGAATCGATTTCAAAAAAGTACAAATTCTCATTCTTACTTTTTTTTAAATTTTAATTTCGAGACACACTCACACACACACAAAACATATTCGTCTTACCTAATCCAAAAGCCAAAACGCTTTCTTGATTTATAAGCTTTCCTTCTGAGCTAATAAACCTTTCAGGTTTAAAAATATAAGGTTCTGGAAATAATGTTGCATCATGATGAGCTGCATGTAAATTTAATAACAGTGTTGTATTCTGAAAAGAAAAAAAAAAAAAATTTTCTATTTTGTGTATTTGTGCAAAAATTATTATTATTAAAATTTACCTTTGGTATGTTGTAACCATTTAATACAGTTTTGTCTAAGCATCTTCTCGGTCCAATAATTGGTACCACACAATACATTCTCATTACTTCTAAAAGAACTGCTTCTACATAATATAACCTGTGAGAAAAAATAAAAATCATAATCGGCTTTCACAAAACTTTTGACAAATAAACACTGTTTTTATAATTTTTTCCATTTTTTAACAACAATAATGATGATGCTTACTTTGATTTATCATCGATTGTCGGTAATCGATCTTTACCAACGTGTTTTATTATTTCTTCGTGTACTTTCTCTTGAATTTCCGGATATTTGATCATGAGCAAAAAAGCAAAATCTAATGTTTGACTAGTAGTTTGTGCACCTCCTAAAAACAAATCCAATAGTAAAACGACCAACTGTTCATCTAAAAAAAAAATAATAATAATTAACCATGTGTGTGCGTGCGTGTGTGTTTGTTTTCCATTATTATTATTATTATTATTTCTAAAAAAAAAAAAAAAATTTTTACCGGTAAAATTTATGCTGTTTGTTTTTAATTTTTGCTCTTGAAAAAAAGCACCGATGAGATTTTTATTTGATTCTAAATTCGTACAATTTTTGTGACTTTCAATCGTTTCCTGTAAGTAATCAAAATAACCTTGTATTAAAGATTAATTTAAAGAGAGAGAGAGAGAGAGAGAGAGAGAGAAAACATTTCGACTCGCCATAAGAAAACTTTTAAGTTCTGCATTAAGCTCTTGTAGCAATGAATAACCGATTGTTCTCGGTGCGACAAATCTAAGCCAGGGCATTTGATTTAATGTACCTCCGGCCATGTCGAAAGCTCTAGATCTTCTATTAAGTAAATTTAATAATTTTTTTATTTTCGGATCTGATTTTTCAAGTCTTTTACCCGTGACCAATGCCCATAAAACGTTGAGAACGCTCGGTGACGTTATATTTCCAATACCGTTAACGACTTTTTCTTTAAAAAAAAAAAAAAAATTTGAAATTTCGAATTAAATATTTATCGATTTCCCCTCCCCCCAATTTTTTTTTCTTACCACTTTTTAAAATTTGAATCAATTCTTCGACTTCAACTAATATCAAAGAATCCATCGTTTCTTTTCCAAAACCCAATTGTTTGAGTTGTTTCGTTGCAAAAGCTCTTTGTTCTTTCCATGAGTATCCGTCGGTGCTCGTTATACCTTTTAAACAATATTATTATTATCATCATTTTAAAGTAAAGCAAAAATAATAATAATGATAGTACCTTGTCTTTTGCCGAAACACCGTAATTTCATGAAAAAGGATTGTGGTCTCCCGGTGAAAACATCCCTTGTGAGTATGGCTCTTATTGCTTCCGGTGTCAAACCAACAACAACAAATTCCCTCCCCAATTTCAAACCCAAAACTGGAGTCTTGTAATCTTCCCCTAATTTTGACAACGCCCAATGTTGTCCGTTTAATTTTTTAGATAAATCTCTTAATAGAAAACCATTTCCTATCAGGGGCCACCATTTCGGACCTGAAATTATCATTATTATTATTATTATTTTTTTTTTTTTCAAATAAATGTCGTGCTTTATAATTCATTCGATTATCGTTACCATTATTATTATTATTATTATTATTATTTTCGAATCGATTTTAATATTTCTTAGAATTATTTAAAAGTTTAAAACGTGATATGGTTGTTATCACATGACACCCCCCTCTTTGGCATGGAAAATTCAAAACGTTAACAAATAGAAAAAAAAAAGAAAAAAAATTTTTTTTAACCGTCGGGTCGCATTGATAATAATAATAATAATAATGATATTTTTTACAATTAGGCAATTTACAAAGTCATCGAAAAAAAAAAAAAAAAAAAAAAAATTTTTTTTTTTTACGCAAATAATTAAATTTTTTCGACATGTACGAACTACTTTATTATTATTATTATTATTATTATTATTATTACTTTTAAATATAGCTTAAATTGGCAATTAATACAAAAATGTTTAGTCTGCTAGACTCAATTTGCCTGTATTAAAAAAAAAAAAAAAAAAAAAAAAAAAACAGCTGTTTTAAAAGACAGAAAGGAAAAAAATACATAAACGTGATTATCGACATGTAATATTCAAATTTATTATTATTATTATTATTATTATTATTATTATTATTATATTTTTGGCGACCTTGTAATGTAAAAGAAGGTGTTAACGTTTAGGAGTTAAACCGCGACAGAAATTTAAAAAAAAAAAAAATATTCAAAGAGAATATTTAATTACAAAATATTAAAAAAGTTATTTAAATTTAAAACTACGTCATTCATAATCTAAACATGATAATAGGCAAAAAAAAAAAAAAAAAAATTGAATGAATTAATTCGCAGAATGAAACGATCGTCTTTTATAATCCTTTGTCATTATTATTATTATTATTATAATTCCAGTCGAATATCAATTGGAAAAAAAAAAAAAATGTTTGATAATGATAATAACGTTTTCGTTAAAAAAAAAAAAAATTTATCATAAGTTAATAATGTTAATAATAATAAAACTCATTGTGGCGACGTTTTCAAACGTTTAAAAATTTAAATTTTTTATTTTTATTTTTAAATAATAATAATAATAATAATAAGATGATGATGATGATGATGATGATAATAATGATAAATTTACTAATGATTACGACCGATTTTACCGGTTTTTTTTAAAATTCTTACCTAATAAATTTCTTAAGATAAATTTTTTTAAAAATAAAAGTTTTTTGTTATTTTAATTCCAGAATGTGTGTGAGAGAGAGAGAGAAAGACAAAGAGAGAGAGAGAGAGAGAGAGAGAGAGGTAAAGAGAGAGAGAGAGAGAAAGAGAATGTGTGTTGGAATTAATAACAAACGTGATTTTTTAATATAATAAAATGTTGTCATAGTTTTCTAACGACGAAAGATTTAGCACGACTTCAAGTTTTTTTTTTTTTTTTTTTATAAATAATTTTTTTTCAACGAATAATAATAATGATGATGATAATAATACTAAAAAGATACGTTCGAAACTGGAAACGTTTAAAAAAAAATTTCATTTTCATTTTCATTTTTTTTTTTTTTTTTTTTTTTGGAACGGTATACAAAGTAATCTCATAAATCATTAGAATCGAAATGAATGTTTTTTTTTTTTTTTTTTTTTTAAGCAGACGACAATCGTTAAAATCTTACCTGGTGGATAATTATCTGGTCTTTTTTCCCTTTCTATAACGTATGCTATTAATAATATAAATAAAAGTAATATGAGAAATACCGTTATCATATTGTTATGAATTTTTTTTTTTTTTTAAATTAACAAAAGAAAGAATGAAAATCTACTCAAATTCATAAACGTTTTTTAATTTAACGAAATTCTTATACTTTTTTCATAACAACAACTATCACAACTTTTTTTTTTTAAACACTTTAAAATATTTTTTTAATAAAAATCCTTAAAAATGTTAATTTACTGCCAAATTTTTTTAAATTCACTTTTTAAATTATATTATTATTATTATTATTATTTAAAAAAATCACTCCGTTAATAATAATAATAATTAATAAAATCCAAAAAAAAAAAAAAAAAAATTGAATTAAATTTTAAACCGGCCTTATATCTTCATCTTTTCTTTTACTATTATCCACAGCCTTTTATAATTTAACGTTTTTTTTTTTTTTTTTATGTAAATCCATCGTAAATAGCGCCATTGTATTATTGCTTTTGTCATAGAGTATTTAAATCTCATAGAGTTTCTATAAAAATAAAATTTTTTTTTTTTTGAAAATTAAAAAGAACATTTCTTTATACTTATTATTTATTCTGTTTGATTTCTCATTTATCCTATTGTTATCTTATAATAATAATAATAATAATTATAAAAATTTTTCAACATGTCCGTTACAGTAATTTTTTAACAAGGAAAAATCTTTAGCATTATTAAAGGTTATAAAATATGAATTTATTAATTAGAGGTATAAGAATTTACGAAAGGAATCATAAAAAATTTTTATTTGATTTAAATGTAAGTGTAAAACTTAACCTGTAATGAAAAATGTTTATTATATATAATATAATATTAATTATTTTTAATTTTTAGACAAAATGTCTGGAAAGTATTACAATTAAAAAATGTTCGAATACAGTAGTTGCTGCTGCTCCACCACCCAGTATACAAGAATGGAGATTAAAAAGAAAAAAAAGATTCAAACCTAATAAAACTGGAAGCTTGTTCCTTCTTGTAAGTCACAACTTATTCCTTGTACCTGAAAATGATGATTAACCTAAAAATTAATTTTTGAAAAAAAATCTGGTATTGTTATTTATTATTGCAGACGATTCCAGTGATTGCTTTCGGATTGGGTACATGGCAAATAAAAAGAAAATTTGAAAAAAATGAACAAATAAAAGAATTAAGAAAAAAAGTCGATTTACCACCGATTCCACTTCCTAAAAAGTAAATCAATCATAATTTCATCAAATTTATTTTTTCTTTTTAAATATAAATCTAACTGTGTGTGTGTGTGTATATAATAATAATAATAATAATTTTTCAGCTTTGAAGAATTAAACGAATTGGAATATAGAAAGGTTAAAGTTAAAGGAAAATTTGATCATAGTAAAGAAATATATTTGGGTCCGATAACATTATTAGGTGAACATAATCTTTTATCAGGTTTTTCATCTCTTCTTTCTACGGCTCGTTACACGGGTTATCAGGTTATCACGCCATTTAAATTATCAGATAGAAAGTAAGAGTTTAATCTAGTAGGAAATAAATATTATTATTATTATGTAATGAATGAATTAATATGAACTGTTTCCAGGGAAACTATTCTAGTCAATAGGGGTTGGATACCCAAAGTTAAAAAATCCCCACAAACTCGATTAGAAGGACAAATCGATGATGAAGTTGAATTGATTGGATTAATAAGGTTAAGTGAAAAAAGGCCACCCCTAGGGAGAAAAAATGATCCGGAACATGGTAGATGGTTGTATAGGTAATTACAAAAAAAATATTTTTTTTATCTAATCTTTTTTTTAATATTAAATTTAAACAAAATTATTATTATTATTATTTTCAGGGATATAGAAAAAATGTCTGAAATTGCTGGTACAAGTCAAGTTTTAATCGATGCCGATATTTCTACCGAAGTTACCAATGGTCCAATTGCTGGGCAAACGAATGTAACGCTACCAGATAATCATTTAACTTATATAGTCACATGGTAATTAAATTAAATTATGATAATTTTCAGGTTTTTTAAGTTTATTTTTTGTTAAAATCTTTATTTACTTACAGGTATGGAGTGTGTATCTCAACTTCTTACATGTGGTATTTAAGGTACATTAAATCTGTCATTTAAAATTTGATAATTTATAAATGTGTAAATTATTATTATTCATTGAAATGTTAATTATTATTATTATTATTATTATTCACTCTCAAAAGATTGTTTTCAATGTGTTTTAAAAATCAAATCTATGAAATTATCGTTAATCCCATCACATTGTATTCAGTCGAAGTTTCTAAATCGCAGTCTTTACTTTGCCAGTGTTTGTTTCCAAAGAATTTATCGATGGTTTAAGGAAGTTTTTTTTCCTTTTGTTTTCAATAACTTGTGAATTTGTTAATTATTAATCTAAAATAAATAAAAAATTTTGTTTGAATTCTTTAATGTACTGATTTTTTAAAGAATTAAATAATTATAAGTTTTATTCTGTTTTCTTTATATTTTTTTTTTTGTATTCTGATCTAAAATAAAATTATTCCAAAAGTAAAATTTAAATAAATTATTTATTAATCACTATTTTAATGGAAAACGCTAAAAAGTTTGCGTTAATAATAAGAAAATTATCAATATCCCCCAATCATATATAAAAAATAAAGTAAATTAACCGTGATCAAAAGCGATATACAATGTTATTAACGAGATTTAACGATTTCGAGATATCGATATATCGAATGTAAAACCCAAGCTTGACCGGTAAATCGTTAGTAATTACATCAAAATGGTAAGTACGATAAAATTGCGGGAAATTTTTTGAGTATTACATTATTCTAACCTGATTTTTTTTTTAAATATTTTTTTTCTAATAGTTGTTCTATTCATTTTTTAAATCATTGGTTGGAAAAGATGTTGTGGTAGAATTAAAAAACGATCTCAGGTAATTAATCAAACCTAACCTAAAAAGGATAAAAATAAATTTTTTTGTATTAATAAATGATTACATTACTCACATGCCTGCATAATTTTTTTAAATATTATTTTTCAGTATTTGCGGTACTTTACATTCAGTTGATCAATATTTAAATATAAAATTAACAGAAATAAGCGTTACAGATCCGGATAAATATCCTCATATGCTATCGATAAAAAATTGTTTTATTCGAGGTTCGGTTGTTCGTTACGTACAACTACCCGCGGATGAAGTCGATACTCAATTATTACAAGATGCAGCTAGAAAAGAAGCTGCATCACAATCGCGATAGTTTTATTAAAGTTTTTTTCAATATACATATACATATTACTGACAATTTATGTAAAAGAATAAATAGCGTGTCGTGTGTTAATTATTTTCATTTTGTTTTATATCTACAAATGTATTAAAAGTGATTAGGGATTAATTAAATGTAAAAAAGTAATTTTTATATAATACTTGCATCTTACAGTGTCATAGTTTATCATTCAAAGTTATCAAAGTTTATAATATTTTGTTTGTAACAGTAAGAGAAATTAATTCATGTAAAATAAGAAAATGGCTTATTTTTCATTAATTACTCGCTCGATAAAAATGAAACTGTGCTGAATTTGAATCTAATCGAAATCATTTTTATATTCGAAAATCAAGACACTGTAAGTACTTTTAAATTATAACTTTTTTTTTTTTTCTTTATATTTGACATAATTTTTTAAGGGAGTATAAATTTGTGCAAAATAAAAAAACAAAAAAAAATTTGTCATAATCGAGTGTGACACAAGATTTTTTTTTATTTTGCAAATCGTGGAAACTATTATCGAACATGATTAAAAGTCACGAAAATGGGGAAAATAATTAATTGTGAATAAGGAATAATTGAGAGGAATAAAAATATGTTTAAAATTTTTTTTACAACAACAGTTCTAACATAAAATGATTTCTAATTCGGTTTTTCATCTCACTTTCTTTTTATGTAAATGATTATAAACTATACATTTTATCGATAACACATTTTGAGTGTGCATAATTTATATAAATCATTATCTCATATATATATTCGGTTCTTTTCCGATAATTCATTTGATTTTTTTTTTTTTTTAAATTTATTTAATAAATTTACATAATGTTTAATTATAAATATATAAGGATTACAATCTAAATAACAGTCTTTATTTTAGTTTAGTGTCCAAAGTAGTTTGTTTTTCTCTTTATTATTTTCCACCACAACCACCACCATTTTGTAGTAATCACCTACCGGTAGAACTTTCTGGGCATTTTGTACCATTTTCAAAATAAGTATATGATTACTCTCTCCTATGTCTTTCTCTCTCTCTCTCTCTCTCTCACTCTTCACTATTGTTCTGCATTGAAATAAGAATTTTGCATAAGATAAAGTTTATCAATGGGATTAATTTGAATGTTGGGTCCATGTTGCGAATGATTATAATGATGATGATGATGATGATGATGCGAATGATGATGGAGAAGATGAGATGATTGAGTATGACCATGTTGTTCCATGTTTTGTACTGATAAACTATCAGATCCTCCTTCGTCTAAACCTTCAAATTGTGTGCTACCATCTAAGGAAATATCACTACTGCAAAAACTGTCGTTTGAATTCGTGTGATAATTATCTGGAACGAAAAGAAATAAAAAAAAAAAAAAAAATGGCTACCATTCGTACGTTTGTACACGTTTTTTGTATGCAAACAAAATTTTTTTTGAAATTAAAGATGGGGGATCTTAACGGTTTAACGGTGGATGTATATATATATATTTTCTCGGTTATTTACCTTCTGGAGAAAAAGGGATAATGGGATTCACGGATGATTGTGCGCTGGATGCAGTGGTTGTATCATTATCTTGATAATTCAATCCACTTAATCCCAAATAGTGAACTGAAAAAATTAACAAGAGATCGATTTCTCGACTCTATTTGGGAAATATCTCGGCCATATTTTTTATACCCTCCCCTCCCCCCCCCATTTAAAAAAGAAAAACATAATAACAAACCTTGATCACTGTCCGGACTTTCAACTTTTATACTTTTCTCATCTTTATCTTTATCTAAACCTTTATCCTGTTCTTGTTTGGCTTTCCTTTGTATTTTTTTAACTTTGGCTCTTTGATTTTGAAACCAAACTTGTACCACTCTCACACTTAAACCGGTTTCTTTAGCCAATGCTTCGCGAACCTAAAAAATGTATTATTATTATTATCATTATTATTATCGACAATACTTTTAAAAGGAAAAAAATGTTGAATGTAATATTTACTTTTCTACAAGGTTTCGGGCTCACTTCGAAAGATGCTTTAAATTGTCTTCTCTGTGCTGATGTTAGTATCGTACGAGGTCTTTTAGGTCCTCTTCTTCCATCTCTATGCCTTATACCATCATCTAAATCTAAATCTTCACCTGTTGACAAAATTGTTTTCGTTATGATTAAATTAAAAAAGGAAAATATTTGTTTGAGTGATTATTATAACAATACACAACCTGTGGGACTGTGTAATAAATAAATTTCCTTTTCGAAATCCGGACGACAAAACAATTGTCCCGCTTTTAAAACAAATTGTTCACCCTTTTGCAAATGTTGTCCGCATGCTATGCAACAAAAACATTGAAGATGAAAAACTAAATGTTGAGCTCTCATAACGAGTTCGTGTGGTAATATTCTATCCCCGCACCTCGAACATTTCACTCCGAATATTCTAATAATAAATAAATAAATAAATTAATTAATTAATTTTTTTGATGACGTATTACGTGTGTGTGTGTGTGCATGTGCGTGGGTGTGTATGTACCTATCGTAATCTTGTTTACAATATAATTTTCCGGATCTTGTATAACAACTATGTGATAAAAGGACTCCGCAAACGTTACACGAAAGACAATGTTCGTGCCAACTCGTGTCACCAACTCTCATAAGGTACCTATCGTGAATTTTTTGACCGCATCCTTCGCACATTTCATATGTTTTTTCACATTTTCCATTTGTTAAAGACACATCTGAAATATATAAATTAAATTTTCTTTCACTTAAACGCACAACCTCGTACCTCTTAATAATAATAATAATAATAATAAACATTCAATTTGATTTTAGGCACGTGTGTCGTATAAAAACTTTTTTTTTTTTTTTTTTTTCAAAAAACGATTTAAATTATTATTATTATTATTAATAAATAATTTTAATGAAATTTAATTTGTAGAGTTTAATGTAAATTATAATTAATTGTAACTAACGTTTGTTGTTGTTGTTTGTTTGTATGCCAATTTTCCGCATAATGATTTATTATTTAATTGTTATTACATCGGATTATTTTTTTTTATTATTTTTACGTCCGAACGGTTTTATTATTATTATTATTATTATTATTATTATTATTGTTATTATTATCATCATGAATAATAGGTAGCAGGATAAGAAAATAATTATATAGTCGTGGAAAAATTTTTTTTTTTTTTTTTATCTTTATTTCACCCTCGAATTTTCACGTTTAAAAAAAAAAGTCAATGGAAAAGAAAAAAAGAAAAACTAATGCATAAATATTTATCACATCCTGCCTGAGTGTGTGTAAACTTAAGTTAAACAAAACTTTTTTACCATTGTGTCAAAGGAAAAATAAAAAGATTTTAAAATAAATTTGTTTCAACCGCAAACAATAACAAACAAAAAAAAAAAAATTCATGCATGCATGCATATACGTTCCATATATCCTTACACGTAATTTAAAATTTATAACGAAAAGTTTTTCCTTTTTTTTTTTCTTTACCTCCCCTTTACCCTTTCCCCTCGCATCCCCTCCTCCTGCTCCCCCCGCGAAAAAAAAAATTTATTTTATTATTAAACTAAAACAATCATTAATAATCATTTTAATTAATTATTATTTAATATATTATCGATATAAATAATTTTCCATATATATATATATATGTACGTACAATTTAACTAGTGTGAAAATTTTTTCTATGACGTCACGACAAATAATTATTTTACAAAATGGCGAATCAAATTTTTAAATAATTATTTTAATAAATGCAAATCCCGATAAGTAATTTTTTTTTTTTTTTTTTTTTTATTAAATATTGACTTCGTTTAATCCGTTCGTAGTTTTAACTTGAACGTCGGAACGTTCATTTACACGACTATAGTATTATTATTATTATTCTTAAAATATTAATATAAAAAACAACAACAAATGCAGTTTACGTTTTTATTATTATTATTATTATTATTATTATTATTATTATTATTATTATTATTATTATTATTTAAGTTAATTTGAAGAATTTTATCGACGTGAAACGGAAATGACATAGCGGATATAATCAAAATTCTAACGATTTACCGAAAAAAAAATTATTATTACTATTATTATTATTATTAGTTGATTGTTATGATTAATAATAATAATAATAATAATAACGAAATTCGAGAATTTGTCCCTAAGAAATCGTCGGGTAGAAACCTGGAATAAATGCTTAAAAACCCCGACAAATAAGAATCTTGTGTTTAAGAGTGAACAATAATAATAATAATAATAATAATAATAATGATAATGATGATAATAATAATAATGTATAAAATGTAAATAATACTAATAGTAATAATAATAATGATTGCAAACCATCAAAATTTAATGCGATCTATCGATTGGTGATGCAATAAAAAATGTCGGAAAGATTATTTCAAAAAAAAGTTAATAATATAATTATCATTAACTAACCGTCGGCAAACGTATAACGTTCGTTAAACAAACAACAAACAAACGAACAAACGCATTTTTATATGATATAATAATATATATAATAATATAATAATAATATATGTAACTCGTAATTATTTTTTAATTGTTTTCGTATTCATATTTATTTATTTATTCGAGTTTTATAAGAAAATGTTATTATTATTTTTTAAAAACTGTATCATAATTTTATAATCGATATACATATATCGATCGATCGATATATTGATCGATTGTTTCGATATTAAATAATCGATTATTTATTTTACATCGTTTTATATGATTGATTTTCATGTGATGAAGTGATATTTGTTGTTGTTGTTTTTGTTTTTAATATTATTATCGTTTTTATTAATAATGATATTAATATTATTATTATTATTAATATTATTAGTGTTATTAGTAATATTTATAAGGAAAATTTTAAATTATTTATAAAAAAAAAAAAAAAATGATTTGATTACTTACCGGATGGCAGAGCCGTAACGTTACAGGAATGATTTGAAGATAAATGATCAACAGTATCTTGGACCATTGCGTTCAAATCGATTTGTTTATGAAATTCCAACATGTAAACGTTCAGAATGAATAACTAATACATAATAACAATAATGATAATAATAATGATAATAATAACAAATTTATAAATATTCGTTTTTTATTTGATAAACGTAAAAGAAAAATGAGAAAAATCACACGCGCGAAAACGATTTTTTTTATTATTATTATTGTTATCACTTTTTAAAAGAGGAGAGGAAGAGAGAGAAAGAGAGAAATATGAAAGGAAATGATAATGATTATACACAAACCGGAAGTTATCTCTCGTTCGATTTTCGGATATATATATAGAAAAAAATTTTTTTTTTTTTCACGGCATGGATGATTATTTCCGATTGGAATCGATTTGAAAAATTTTTTGATAAATCGGATAGAATAAAAAAAAAAAATTGTAAAATTGTAAAGAAGAGAAGAGATGTAAAAGGAAAATAAAGGAAAAGAAAAAGGAGAAGAAAAGGAGAAAATAATAATAATAAAGAGTAAAAAAAAAAAAAAAAAAAAAAAAAAAAAGGAAAAACGGTTTAACGGTTTTTTTAAACTTTCAGTTTCAGAAACTGCGTTATAACTCGCACATCGACGTGTCACTTATTTCCGATACTATCCTCCACAATTTTTTTCCAAAATGGTAATTGAATCGATTGAATTTATTTAAAAAAAACGTTTCCCCTTATCATTATCATATTGTGACACGTAGTCAACGTACAATGAATTTAATTTATCGTCAAAATTGATAATTTTTAAACGATTGAACGTGACAAAAGGTTAACGTGAGTGAAATTTACTTTTTTTTCTCATTCGTCTTTTTAAATCGTTTTCATTGACCGTAAGCTAAACATTGTTAAGGAAAAGCTCTCTGAAGGGAAAATTTTCTTTTTTTTCTTTCTTTCTTTTTTTTTTTTTCTCTTTCTCTCTTACTCCCGATTTTCCTTCTTTGTTTATCCTTCTTCTTTTTTATTATTATTATTATTATTTCTTTCCTTTTATTCTTTTTCTTTTCCGTTTTTTATTCAAACTTATTCGATTTTTCATTTGATCTCTTTATTTTTCTCCAAAGGAATATTCCCATCCATCTCTTTTCCTTTTATTATCACATCCCGATTTCAAGTTTTTCTTTAAAAATTGTCCGGAAAACTTAAAAACGTTCAAAAATTTTGATTTTTACCCGAAAAAGAAAAAATCGAACATCGAATTCGGAAAAATTTCTAACCCTAACCCTCCCCACTCCACTCCCCTCTACTCCCACCGATTTATTTATCATACGAATTCGTGTAAATGTGCGTGTGCGCGTAAAGTGAAATGAAATGAAAAAAAAAAAAATTCGCGTTTTTTTTCGTTGTTGTTGTTGTTATTCAACTTCCTACGCTTTGAAAAATAGTTCCCAAACGTTTAACCGAAAGCTCCTCCCACGTAAACGATTGTGATTGGTTAAGAGCTTTTATTTATTTTAAAACGAAACTCCGCCCATTTCATGTGGTAAAGAAAATTACTTTGGAAACTGAAAATAAAAAAAAAAAAAAAACAAAAAAAATTTTCTTTTTTTCTCTTTTTTTTTTTTCGCTCTCTGATTTTATTTCATTTTATTTTTATTTTTACTCGGAAAAATAAAAATAAAAAATCATTATTATTATTATTATTATTATTATTAGTTTTCCTTTGATTTCACTTACCTATAAAAAAAAAAAATTTTTTACTACGCACTTCAAAACCCTTTTCCAAAAACTTCCATAATAAAAAGAAAATTTTTATTTTTTAAAATGATCCGAAAAAAAATTAATTTTTATTTCTCTCTCTCTCTCTCTCTCTCTCTTTCTCTCTCT